CCTCGCTTCTGGTGGCGCCTGCCCGCGGGAGCGGGGAGCTCCGGGTCGGGATGGGGCTGGCGCGTCCCTCCGGGTGTGGGCAGCCCCAGCCTCCGTGGCTGCTGCATCTCACAGCCCTGGCCGTGCCTCCGCCTCTTCGCGAGGGCACCTCTCGTGTCACTGGGCAGTTTGAGGAATGATCTCTCCCATGAGGAACAGCAATCTCCCCAGTTGCTGTATCTTAAAAATTAATGATTCTGAATTGAAAGCCGCTGTGAGTTAAATAAAAATTAATGATCAGGAGCTTGAAGTTAGCCTTGACTTGGTAATAACAGACTATGAAACACACAGTGCATCTCAGTGGGTCAGAATTTCTCAAGCGGCTTTGCTCTGTGGTGCTTAAGTTGAAACACCTACTTTAGGTTTAGTGATGCCTATGAATTATTTAACAGATGTTACGGCAGTGGTGGGAGGCCCTTATCACAAGAAGGTTTTAGTAACAACTTAATTATTACCGTAAATAATTTACAGATTGGTTCCTTTTCCACTGCGGAAGCGTATATGTAGTTCTGTGAAGGCAGTAGAAGCACACTCTTGCTTCTGAAATTAGACAGCAGTTTGAAGCTTTGGGGCCAGATGATGAATGATATCTCTGGGAAATAATACAACTTAATATATGTTTATGTTACAAAAATACTCAAAAATGGACTTTGTTAGATACAGAAGCAGTTTAGTAGTAGCTGATGACTGATCTGAAGTTATTTTTTAGAGCACTTCACCTCTTGTTTGAATAGAAGTGTGTATTATATTTCCTTCTCACCTCAAAGTCTGCTAGTAATTGCCTCCATTTTAAAACAAAAGTCAACCAAAATTACGGGCCTGAATCCATGTGCTTGACTAAGTAAGAGTGTCAGTTTTCCTATCTCTAAAGTGATTAAAAACTATCATATTTTTTGAACAGGGTTGCAGTGCTAAACAACTTGGTAATCATACACCACACTTTCAGTGACAGCAAACCAATTTCATTGTGCACAGCACTAAACTATGAGTCAGGGTCTGGTTGCTCCATCTTAGCTGAGAAGGCCCTTTTAATTGCTCAGTCATGATTGTTTCCAGTTGTTGAGTTACAGTCTTGTCTGCCAGCACTTCAGTTCTGGTAGATTTAACTGTGGTGTTTTATCAGCTTACTGACTCTAGCAATCCATCTTGCATTTTTTGACTGAACTACTGACCCCCCCATTCCCCTTTTACAGAGATGAGTGAACATGTGTCAGCTGGTTAGCTGTCACAGTTTGTGGTCTGTTGTCGTAGTTTAAGTTGGATTGATGCTAGCATGTTGGACTGTAAACAGGAATATTTCTGGCATAGGAAATTTTTTACTAGAACATTCACTTGCAGCACAGTGACTAGGAGGACATCTGGGAATAAAAACTCTTAAAACCAATATGACTGATCATGAAAAGTTCTTTAAACCCCAAGTGACAGTCAGTGTCTTTTTTAAAACAGTTTCAAAGGGCTGAAATGACTTAAGATCCTGTAAATTGCTACAGAATAGGCTGTGGACTTGTAAATATACAAAAGCTTTGAAATTATCAAATCACAGAATTTATAAACCTGCTTCTCACAGTTCTTATAGTTAGAAGGATGTGAAACACTGAGAAAACTAACTCTGTCATACTAGAAACATGTTTGGATGCAGGAGAGGTTTATTCTTACATTTTAAAATGATGTCTATGAGTTTAAAATATCACTAGGCTCTCAATTATTCTAAGCCAGAAGCTTTGCTGTTTTTGTACATTGAACCACCTGGACAGGAGTCACACGCTATGATATGAAGGCACACATCAGCTGAGTCTTTTCGAAAAAGGAGGCTTATTAGGAAATTGCAGTAGGAATCCTGTTTTGTTTCATTATGATGACTTTTACATCTATGCCCTTTTTACACTGTCAGTGGACTGTAATGTAGCAGATGTCACTCTAGAAACCTTGGGAAGAAATATGTGCTTCAGATGATCACATACGCACAGTGGCTTAATTCTTAAAGTAAAGTTTTATTCTTACTAAATTCTAAATACACTATTGATTTTTATAAGGTGTTCAAAACGAGTATTTCCTAAAACGTTACTTTTCCTACATCCTATGTAGTTTTAAGTACTAAACAGGAATAACCATTTGTGTGAAAATTATCTAAAATACATTATCTATCTAGTTAGACCATCTTTGCTGTGTAATTCGGAATCTAACACTGTTTTTTAACAAGGCTGTTCTTTGACTAAAGAAGGAAGGCTTAGGTTTATAGTTCTTTACATACAAACTTGTAATAATGCTGGGGTTTAAAACTAATGTAGAAACACTTAGTGTCCACTGATTTGCTTTCAGAGTGATGGAGGCATTCTTGTGTTCAGTTCTCGTTGTTTCCTCATACGCTGTGTGGTGGATTCAGGAAACAAGTGCATATGCATTCTGTGTTCTTGTCCATAGTATTTGATGCCATTAGAAGTTAAATATCTTTAGAACATATGTTAAAAGTCACTTTTGTCATCTGCTTGAGGTCTTTTCTTCTTGTGAGATGTTGATATACAAATACGCGTATGACTTGGGAATTCTGTGTCTCAAACAGAGTATCTGTAGGTCCTCTTGATTTTAAACACGAGTTTTATCTGCATTTAGAATTCGAGGGATTACTTAGGGGTTGTTTGGTTGGAGAACAACCTCCTTGGCCTGGGAAATGAAAGTGCTCGTTACTTCAAGATTTTAAGAGCTTTACTGTAACAAAAATGGCAAAATTGGGTGTGAAAATGTGTAGTGATTATTGACAGTCAACTATGTATTAGAAATTAGTTAAATATTAGTTAAATATTGCAATTCCTTGGCAAACAGAATGGACTATGGCAATTGTTATTTTGATCTGAATACATATAAAGGGAAATAGAGTGATTTGGAAATGGGTTTGATAGTGGTGCTGTGTAGTCTAGAGTTTGTTTAACCTTGAGATTTTTTTTAAAGATTTATTTTTATAAACACTTACTTTGAATATAAAACCTCCTTTGGATTAGCAGCAAGTAAAAATTTCAAGACTGTGGCAGGGTACAGTATCAAGACCTTGATCATACAGGCATAGGGAGCCTTGCAAATCTCAGAATAAAATACATGAACTTACAGGAGACTGCCATCCTGGGTGCATGTTTCTTCCTAGTGGTGGTTCTGTTGTCTGTTAGAAGAAAAGATTTGAGCGATTAACACCAACAGTATGTTTTTGTATGAGAGTTAGTTGAATTGAGAATTGACTGATCAACTTAATAGAATTAAAGTGTTATGAGGTAGTAAGGAATTTTTAATTTTTGAATATACTCTACAAATACTAGCTTACTTTGAAAGTGACAGTTGCTTGAATTATAGTTCATGTTAAACCTCTCTAATGCTGTCATATAAAAATGGGGTCTATATGAGATTGAGCATAATTGTTCTCCTGTAGAAGTCATATACTTTTGTGACATTAATACAACATAACAATATAATTTTTTGTTGTTTGTTTTGCCCTCCTGAAGTTTAACCTTGGAGATGATATCGTGAAAGTTGTAATTGATTGGAGCAAGCTTCAAAGCACATCAGCACTTCAGCCAACATTGCTCTTTAGTGCACTTCAGCAGCATATTTTATGTTTGCAGGTAAATATTTAATGGGACACATATGACTTGAGAAAAGTGATCAACAGCTGAATGCAGTTATATTATCTGAACAATAAAATTTCAGTCATTCTGATCTTATATGTCTATGTCCAACAAAAAGGAAAAGTGTGATACGCTTTGGTTTCCACTGTGCCTCGGAGGTACTCGCACTTCAGATTAGTGGTGGGAATAGCCACTGTAGGTGAGAAGGCTGAATAAATGCAGCCTCATTGATTTCTAGACTTGCATTGTAAATGTGATACATTTCCATCTATGGTGGGTTATAATTAAGCAATAAGACACGGCAGGTGTGTGTCATGCTATGATAATGATTCCATGCGTTGGGTGAGTTTTGAGGCTCATGGAGTGCTTTCAGTGGTTCAAGAAGTGGCATTATCCCAGCATGACACATCCTGGAGTGCCGTACTGCAATTAAATATATTTTCAGCGTAGGGTGTTTTTTTTTTTTTAAAGAGTAATTTCTTTGACATTAATGTCTCATCTTGCCAAGTAGCCAGTCACCATTACTGTCATTTCTTTTAACTATTTGAAACTTTCCGACCCTGCCTAAAGTACATGTAATTTACATGGCAGGGATGGTGAGCAGTGTGTCAGCTGGTAACTGAACAGTATTTTGACCTTGATAGTTCATCTGTAAAAGGTGAGGATTTGAATACCAGTTTTTTGCTCCAGCTAGTCAATGGATTATTTGAAGTGTGTAGTGCTGTGAGAGTGAAAAAGGACATTCCTACACTTACTTGTCTGAAGGTAAAAGAAAGACCCTTTATGTTTTCCAGACATCCACCAAATCTCTGGTGTGATAAACGAAAAGAGAAAGTATGCAAGATAAAAGCAAGTAAAACTTACATCCAACTGTAAGAACACTGCAACTGGGAATTTGATTCCATTTCAGGAAATGTGACTGGTAAAAATAAAGTTGTCTTGGAAAAAAAAAAAAATTTTAGAGGGAAAATGAGCAATGAAATTCAGACTAGATGAAGCTGGTAAAAATTAAAAAAGGGGTTGCAACGTATATATGTACTGAGGTTTTGTTATTACATCTTGTGTAAGAGTTATTGCAGTAGAACAATAAGCATTTATTTTTGCTGTTACAAATGTCAGTGCATTCTCTCATTTAATTTCATGACCTAAGTAGATAATCAACCGTGTCAAGAAAAGCATGTGTTCAGGATAACGCCTATATATTTCATGTCTGTGTTCTCTCATTCACTTGGGCAACTGCAGTTTCAAGTGGAGAATGTAGTGCTGTGGTGATAAAGTGAAGGCTTTACAGTGTGAAAGCATTGGCTTTCGTGTTAAAGAGGAAAAATACTAAGCCTTACTGTTCTGAGTAGGCATTTGAATGACACATTAATTAAGTGGCATTGGTGCCAGTGATTGAAGCTTTAACTACTAACAGATGAGTAGCAGGCAGATTTTTTCAGAAATTTGTGAATTTTCCTATACAAACCTCTAAAAGACACAGGTCAAAAAGGCCAGAATCATGGTGTGGGCAGTATTTGGAACTATAGGGTTTTTTTTTCTTTTTTTTTTTTTATTACTGTGTTCCATCTGAGGCAGATGTTGTAATTCCTAAAATTATTTCAGTTGGTCTGTTCTAGAAATTGTAATAGCACTTGACTTTTTACTTTTTGTTTTCAGGAGTTTTTGGCCTTTTTTTTTAAAGCCTAATATACTGTTTTCTTTGTTCAGCCTCTTCTAGAAAAACTCCAGTCATTGATTAAAGAGGAAAATATAGGCCATGTTGAACCTGCAGGTAAAACAGAAAGCACTTGTGAAACAAGTTTAGATGTTTATGATGGTAGCTGTCAGGCTGAAGAAAAATACGCAAGTTATGACTTGGGAGATCTGAAGGATGCTCATATTAATTTTGATCCAGAGGTGGTCCAAATAAAAGCTGGAAAAGCAGAAGTAAGTGATTTACCTAAATTAAAAAAAAAAAACCCAACTTTCTAAATTTTAAATTTAAAGAATAAAATAGATAAATGCCATCATGTTTATTACCTGCAGATTGACAGGCGGATATCAGCCTTCATCGAGAGGAAACAAGCTGAGATCAATGAAAATAATGTCAGGGAATTTTGCAATGTTATTGATTGTAATCAAGGTAACTGGCTGGCCAGTCTTTCATCTTCATAGCAATTTAAATTGTTTTTTAATTTTTTTTTTCAAAAGCGCTGTTCTATATTTAAAACTGAACTTTATTTTAAGAGTAAGAGTAACACTGTTTTAAAGTTAAGAACTTGCATGTGCACTGCAGATGTTATCAGATAGAAAAAAAAAAAGTAAGTAGTCACTGGGTGACAATGTTTAATGCATCCCATACAGAAAGATTATAGCTATTACAGTGTTCATTTTAAGGATCGTGATCTTAAATCAGATGATTTTGTAGCTATTGTTCCCAGTGTTTTAGCTAGATGTTCCTTCCAAAGTCCACAGAATTGCAATTCAGAAATGTCTTGTGAATTGCATATTAAAAGTGAAGTTAATTTAATGCTAGTTAAATTACAAAGAAGAATTCTTTGCAATCAATTTGAATTACTAGCTACTAGAATAACTTTTTCCTTTCAACATTACTCATGCTATTGGTGTTTTTAGTGCACCATCTGGCACAATTGGCTGTATCTATAACCAAACAGTCTTAAATCCATCTGGTGGGCTAGATCCTATTAGCATGATCAGTAACTGTGTAACTAAACGTGTCTTAAAAGTGAAGACACTTTTATATACACAAGCAGTACAGAGATGTTTTCTAAGTACCTGTGAACCCAGATATGCGTTGTCTCTGTGATGTACTTATGCTTTTAGAGATCAAAGCGTATTGTTCTGTAAGCTTTCTAGGAAGAGAGTTTAACTCCTTGAATATTAGTTGGAATGAAAGTGACATCTGAAGTCTAGTAGAGTATGCTAGGTAGTAAAATACTGATTCCTGAAAATTGTTAATTATGTACAGAAGAAATGATGGTAAGACTTTCCTTTGTATGTTCAGGCATGATAAAATACGTGTAAAGCTTTGATGTATATGAACAGAGATTAAAATATAAATATTAGAATAAACTAAGATGGTCTGTACTATAGGCTTATGGTTAAACAAATCAAAGGAGTCACAGGCATCAGAATAAATGCAGGAAGGTGAGAAAAGAATGCTGATAAGTAAACTAGACTAGTCTAAAAATAGGAGAACAGTTTCAAAAAAGGACATAGAAGCAGAATAGCAGGGTTAAGCAGGGAAAAGACTTCTGTACAGGAAGAAAGAAATACATTGACAGAGAAACACAGTGAAAAGTAAGAGCCAAATAAAATATAAATTGGAAGAAAATTGGCCCTGATCTAATAAACTTTTATATGCACACATGCATACCTTTATATAAGTGACCAATTAAAACTAATAAATCCATGCAAGTGTGTGAAACTATTAAGGAGCAAGTGTTTATAGAATGAATGTATTTCTGATGTTGTTATTGTATGGAAAATTTAAATTAGATTTATTAAAAGCCTCAAAGCTGGTGATGGTTAGAGTATTTTAAATCGTAAATACATGATTAGGACCTCACTTTTTATGCTACTGTTATTTATTTAGAAAATAGCTGTGCCAGAACAGATGCAGTTTTCACACCCTATCCTGGATTTAAAAGCCATATAAAGGGTAAGCAACTATTTTAATACCCAGATAGAACAGCATTCATGAATTTTTGACTTAAAAATTTTTTAAAGAATGCTCCAAAAATGCAAGCTTATTGTATGGATTTTTTACTCTAGTGAATACTTTAACATCTTTGCTTATTTCTCCAAGGTTTTCAATTCCATAACTGCTTCATTAAGCTGATGGTTGGACACTAAAGTCCAAATCAAAGTAGCCTGTTTTCATTGTCTGAAAGGAAAGATGCAGAAGGTAAAGCAGGATAGATAAGATGAACCATTTTTAGCTTTTCTTCTAAGGTGAAGCCAACAGTCCAGATAAGGAATGGTGATTAAATCAAATTATCTTCTACTTTTCATTAGTCATTGTAAGTATATTGAATTGGAAAATAGTTTTGGGACACAGTGGAAGTTCTGAAACATAGGTATAGGGGAAGTGACAAGCTGGAGAACAAGCTTACTACTGCACTGCTTTTTGGAAAGGAGTAAGTAGTGTAGAAATGATTGTCCAACGGAAGTTATGTATAAAAGATTGCTTGTCCATCTGCTGCTCGCTGGATGTACACAAGTTACTCTGTGTTTAAAAACAAACAAAATCTCCAAAATGATAATGGAAGTAACCCTCTCTTCCATTTTTGAGAGTGGTAGTATTTGGATAACCACTTTAATTCATTCCTTCAGGAAACCAAAAAACTCAGAATAATACTGTGAAGCATGATGATAGGTGTAAGCATTAAATGGTCTGGTGAGCTAAGATGGAAATGGGGGAGTGAGTTTGAGTTCAGAATCTGTCACCAAGAACCCCTTTCAGTAGTCGCTTTTTTAAACTGAGTGCTAGTTTGTAACTTGGATGGTAGTGTATTACAGGAAAAAAAAAAGTTTGCACTTGAAGTAACTAAAACTCGAACAGTTCGTAACTGAGATGTGAATAATGCTTAGAAAGGAACTGGAAGTAAAACCAGCATAAACTGAAGCAAGAATGTAATATGTGGCCTTCATGAAGCACTAAGAAGGTGTGTGCTTCAGTGTCTGGAGTTGCCAACATAGTCTTTAAGTCTGCAGTACACTGCAGTGTCCTGTTCGGAAGGACTTGAGAAATGATTGTGATTTAAAGAGAAGTGACCAAAATCTTCTGATGAAGATGTGGTTCAGCAACGGGAAAAGACAGACCCAGAAGCAGCTGAAGAGTCATTAAGGCTGTTAACCGAATAACAAAAATTAGTAGAGAACTTCCTTGCTGAGATTCGTAGCGGTTCTTCTAGTTGTACACCTCCCCTCATCTTCATGTATTTATGATGCTTCCTGTAATGTTAGGTCTAGCCTCTTCCTTGCATTCACAACAGCTCACATGCAACTGCTGACATAGATACTGGGTTTTCTGCTATTTATTGGCAGCTGACAACAAATTCTTGATACTGCCATTGCACATGAATGCCTGAGTAATTCTTCTACTTTGCATATGTAAAGTTCTAGGTTTTTGTTTAGTTACTCATGCAAAAATAAGAAAATACTTTTACTTGAACCTTTGATCTTAATGTGTGTGGGACCCTTCTCATGAAAGACTGGTGTGAAATTAACACAGGTTTTATATTTTAATATTTTGATTGCTTTAGTTAGATGTACTTTGTGTTTCATGTGCATATATGTTAAATTTCTGTTCTCTTTACCTAGTTTCTAGGGTAGTAAATACATATGGACCTCAGACTAGATCTGAAGGACCACATGGGTCCAGTCACAAAGCCAATGTACCCATTCATGATTGTGGAAACCAAGCTGTTGAGGAGAGATTGCAAAACATTGAAGCACACTTACGGTTACAAACAGGTTTGTATCATGTTTTAATTGTGACATCAGTGTGCCAGTTTGTACTACAGTTATTACTGTAGTAAAACTAGCAAATCTATAAGAACTGCGACTGTAAAAACAGTGGATAGATCCACTGAAGGGTTTAGTCACCCCAAGTACTACAATCTAATGTTTAAGTTCTTCTGCCCAAAATGGAACCCAGATTTATGCCCAAATTAGGATGCTGACTTAGTAAATCTATAATTGATGTGGTGGCAAACGAGAGAGGGGTTCTTCAGGATGGGATTTAAAACAATCTGGAACTGGCGGTAGGGGTTCTCCATAGCCCATAGAGTCCTTCTGCTTTGACACTAAACAGGAAAAGCTGAGGTTAGGACTCAGCTTCATGGACACCTTGTGGGCTGAGGATAGGATGAACCCAAAATACACTTTTTCATAAAGGTGGATGATTCTGGAAATACAGTTAGGTCAGAAACTTATTTCCCAGAATGTAGGAAACTCATTGCCAATACTTCCCTTTAACCATACAAACATGAGTCCACACCTTTCACTAAAATAAATGCCATAGCCACCAGGCTACTGACTTTTTGTAAGTAGTTGTTTTCCTCGCCCTAGCCCTGGTTTTCTAGAATATAAATCAATGAGGCGCTTTTCATGGAGGAATCTGATTTTCCCTGAAAAATGTTTTCAGAACAGAACAGAAGCCCAGACCTTCACCTAATAAAGTGAGTGTTCTACTGCAGACATCAAACTGCAGACACACACTGACTTTTTTTTTTTTTTGTCTTCTGAATACTGAATAGATGCCAATCCATTATCTTAACAATATGGTGAACATTGACTAGATTACTAGATTCCTGTGAATGCTCAGTGGATCAAAGTCCTCTGGCGGCACGGAGAGTAGAATACTCTTAGATACTGTTGAGGCAGCAGTCAGAGCTTGACACTTAGCTGTATAGCTGTCTCAAAAGCAAGGTGGTTTTTGTGTGTAGAAATATAATTTGCAAGTGGCTGTCCAGCATTACGGTTCCAACATGTAGTAACCTTGGAGTTTATGTATATCAAGGATAATGTTTGCAGGTAGCTAAGGAGGGGCCCTTGCTTCCAGGTTGTGCCTATAATAGGTGACATAATTGTGTTGAAAGCAACAGGTCAACTAAACTACTGTATAGGGGAAGAGGATGAAAATGTGCAATTCCAGTTCATCTTCTGTCCAAATCAGCATTCCTGGGGAAGGTCTCAAGATCATTTGTTACTTATCCCAGCAGCTGTGAAAAAAGTATTCATCTGAGCAGATAACTGCCTCAGCTACCTGCTCTCCAGTTTTTGTTTCTGATGATGGAAAGAGTTGTTCTTGACTCACCTGCTGTTTTTCAGAACAGTTTCTTCTAGTGCCAGTACTGCTCTTTTCCCTTTACCTTAAGAGATAGCAACATTAAGAAGAGTAAGAGGTGAGCCAATTTAATTAGTAGCTGCTGAGTGATGAGTAGAGAGCAGGACTGAAGCAGGAAGGCTACCCACAAAATTGGCTGTCTGAAGTGAGGAAATAGATGAATGGCAAAAAAATCCATTAGTGCTTATTTCAGTGGTTTGTGGAACAGAATTTTCTTGCTTAGCAGACATAGAAATAGATGGAAATGGATGGCAAGAGAAGTAAAAGCTTGCTAAGGTCTTGGTTGTCACTACTGTTCAGAACCAGGCTATCATTTTAATTGGGATAGCCAGTAGTTAGTTGTGATAAACAGCTATTTTGGTTTATAGAATACTGTGTAGCATAAATAAGATGCTTTCTAAGGCTGATCTTTTGATCAGTTCTGTTCCTACATGGAGAAACAAACCCAAGCTGCTGTAGTATAGCTGCAAACAGCAAATGGGTTGGAGGTGGGGTTTTTGTTGCTAATGTTTTTGTGGTGCTTGCGGCTTTTTTGTTTGGGTTTTTGAGGGATGGGGTTTTTTTTGGTTGGTTGGTTGGTTTTTCTTTTTTCAAAGCTCTGTTACTCTGTTCCACAGTCCCATCTATGGCCAGGCAAATGCTGTTCTTTGTCAAGCACAACTCGTACCTGTCCTCTAACCTCTGATGCTCAGTAGAGATAGGTTTCCTTCAGAACAGTCTTAGATATCAGTGCTGAATTAATGTGTGGTCTGCTGTCCCATGTGCTCCCTCATGATGCTGCTGTCAGTTTTGAAGTGGTAACATTTGGTATGTGACCAGTGTACTATGATCATTAGTTGTTCTAAGGATCTTGTCAGACATATTTCAACCACCTGCATAAAGTTGTCTATTGCCTTCACTGACTGTGCTGGCTTATCAGACAGGTTTTACCCTGAATCATATTAATGAACTTTTTATTATACCATCCACTCATTTTGTTTCAGCGACTGGCTGATAGCTGGACTCAAAGAATTAATGCGTAAAACTTGCAATCTTTAGTTAAAAAAGTTATTCAAGTGCCTTTCCTGATTTCTTTGTATTTTTACTGGTTTATTTAGGTGGTCCTGTACCAAGAGACATTTATCAGAGAATTAAGAAGCTTGAAGATAAAATCCTTGAGCTGGAAGGACTGTCTCCTGAATATTTTCAATCTGTAGTAAGAAATTCTCTAAACTTCTTCTAGCATACCTAAATGCTTTTGGGACTTTTGTGCTTAAATCTGTCACGTACAGACAAAAACTTAAGGAGTCAGAGGGCTTTTGGTAGACAGCTCTAGCTTGATGTAATGGTTATATTTCATACGGACCATCTATGCAAGTTCATATTTCTACCTAATTTCTCATATGAAAGAAAATAGTATTTGTTTGAGGGGTGAAATTGCAGCCAACCAAGCTTAACTGATTTGTAAGAAATGTATTACAGAGGTTGGATTTCTCCCCCACACACCTTAAAATCTGAAGTGTTTCTAATGACAAGAAAATTAAGAAGTTCTGATCTCAGTACAAATCATTCATGGCTTAAATCAGCTGAAATCATTTGGGCTTCTGTACATGAACTGATTCTAAAGATCAGCTATGTGAAATAACTTCCAATAGGATGAAATAGTAGACCCTTTAAAAATTGTTTTATGGGATTCTATGACTTTGGTTTCTTTGTTGCTAGCCTTGGGGTAGAGTTCTGTCTCTTTCTGAACGGTAAATCTTGTCCTTCATTCACCAGAGGAGATTGTCTAGGACAAAGAGAACATCAGTTGTTACTACATCAGGCCCTGCTTGGCTGTAGAAATTTCTTGTGTGTTATCTTGCTCTTTCCCCATGTAACAGTAAGAATGTCTCTTTTACTGTTGAATGTATTTTACGTTACATTTTCTGTCTTGAGACGAGCCAAAGAAGAGTCAACAATTAAAATCAATAGAAATATTATTAATTTTTGTTTCATTTTTTTGTTTGTGTTGGAGACCAAGTCCTTTTTTTGTGGGGCTGTGCCTTCAAATTGTTGGAAACCAGAATTGAAAATACACTTTCAGAAGCTGAAATTTCCATGGAAAGTGCTTTGAGGTCTTCTCTATAACGGGGATTTGGGAAAAATTTGTGATGGTGCCAATAATAGTGTTGTGCTTTATTGTTCTGCAGTAATTAGCTTTTTTTTGGTCCAAAGTTTTGCAGAAATATTGGTGTAGATGCAGGAAAATTTTAGGGAGAAAGATATCGACTGTTTCAAAAGCTAGATATTGATCTTGGTTTTTTCTGAAGGAAGCTTCAGTCACGTTGCTAGTTGTTGGCTGCCAAATGTGGAAAAGCTTCCAACAGCTTCTGACTGCTTTCCAGTAGTATTTCTTGTGATCCAAAGTACACTTAATTATAAAAAAGATTTCTTTAATCCTTGGAATGGCAGTCAGTATTGTTTCTGTACTTTAAAGACTCTTGTTGTTACAGAATTACTTGTGGTCCTCTGTCAGTGCAACATTAAGTCTGTTTTGATTATATCTTTTCTTTAGAGCTGTTCTGGCAAGAGGAGAAAGGTTCAACCTCCCCACGTAAGTACTGTTAACTTTTGTTTATAGAATCATAGAATCATAGAATTGTTTGGATTGGAAGGGACCTTAAAGATCATCTAGTTCCAACCCCCTGCCATCAGCAGGGACACCTTCCACTAGACCAGGTTGCTCAAAGCCTCATCCAGCCTGGCCGAGAACACTTCCAGGGAGGGGGCGTCCACAACTTCCTTGGGCAACCTGTTCCAGTGTCTCACCACCCTCACAGTGAAGAACTTCTTCCTAATATCTAATCTAAACCTACCTTCTTTCAGTTTAAACCCATTTCCCCTTGTTTTGTCATTAGTTGTCCTTATCTTAAGTTTAGGATGTTCAGAGTGAGAAGTAATCAGAAGTTCTACCAAGCAAATATCTAACTGCTCAGAAATAGCTGCATTGTTATTGGATAGCTTGCTGGCAAAGAGAGAGAGGGAAGGAGAAATAAAGACATTAGTTTTCTGAGTCTGTACTAGGGTAGGTTAGTTAGTGTTTTTACCAGTTAGAAGGATGATAGGAAAAAATAAATCTGTAATGATGTTAATGAAGCTGGGAGTAATAAGCAATTAGTGAATTCTGGCCAGCCTCCTAGTAGTGTCCTCTGGTCTTGTTTTGTTTTATGATTGGTGTTTTTTGTTTATTTAAAAAAAAAAAAAAGTTTGGTTTATGAAGATACAATAAAACTAGAAATGACTGGCTTGGCAAAAGTGTGGCAGAAAGACCTGATGTTATAGCAGATGTTAACCTAAGTCAGTAAGACTTGCCATTTTCACACTACCATCACATAAGGGAATGCGTTAACCATGTACCTTAGGCCACAAAAGAGAATTTCTCCTCAGTGCAAGTGAGACCATGACTGGAACACTGTCTACTGTTAGCCATCACACTTGGAGAGAGATGGACTGGGGAGAATGCTTAGAATGGGATGTGGGCCATCTGAGACATGGAGGAGGTAGGCTTGTTTGCACAAGAAAAAAAAATCCTCCATAGGGTGAAATATTTTTATAAAAAGGATGATAACCAGTTCTTTGTGTAAGAAGAGATCAAAAAAATAGTCAACTTAGGTAGACACAGAGGAGATTGATGTTGGGCAATAGGAAAAAAAAAAAACAACCCTCAGTTGTAAAGATGGGTTCTATAAAACCAGATAGTCTCATCCAGTGTTTTAACATTGAAGGATTTTTGTTCTTTTATTAACGGGTTAACCAAGCATCTAATGGAAATAGCATGGATATATTGATTCAGGATTAGGACTGTCAGTTTCTTCTAAGTTTACATTCTTTTTCTTTCAAGTTTAAGTAGCCGTATACTAGATTCAGACAATTCTGCAAAAGTATTTCTATCATTTAGTGTAATATGTAGTGACCTCAAGTCTCAAGTGCTAGGCCATTTCTGTAGCAATTACAAGATGTAAATGATTGTGGGTTTTATTTTGTTCTTTTAGCAGAACTATTCATTGGCTGAACTTGATGAAAAGATCAATGCTATAAAACAGGCATTACTGAGGAAAACAAAAGAAAGCAAGTCCAAGGAGGCTGAGCGGTTTCTTCGATAAAAAAAAAAAGTCTTTTCAGAATCCTCATCATGCTTTACACGTACCTAAACCATAGGCCTGAGTAGTGCTCATCGGGGATGAATTTAGCAATGAAAACAAAGCATGCATATAAGCTTCATCATTTGGGATGATCTGGAAAGCTTGCTTTCAGAAAAACTAATTTAAACACAGTCTTATTAATGAAACAGTTACTTTAAAATGAAGAATGTTTTAGGAATAGCATTCTAATAATCCATTCCCTTCTGTTATAAAGGAGGATTGCAGCATTGTTCATATGTGGAAAGTCTTTACCTGCATACAAAAACTACATTTCACATGTAATTTTTGATGACTGACTATTCAAAAGGGTTGTTATCTTTTGAATACTTTTCATGTAAGTAGTTTGCATAGAGTTGTGAAATAAAATTAAATACTTCCTCATAAGTAAACTGTCTTAGGAAAAAAAAATTACAAAAAACTTGCAGTGTGCATGCTTACCTGCATTTTTTTCTGTATTTGTCACTGTTTTCACAGCTGTTAGAAATGCAGTAAATTGCATTTCTATTTGAAAGATGGTTCTGGAAGTATTATATGTGTAAATAGACACTTGTTCTTCACTTCCTCGTTGTCG